ATTCACTTTAAAATGTTTTTTACTACCTTGTCAGTAGGTAAGTGGATAACGCGATGATGTTTAAAGCGAATGTTAGTGAACTTGATTCTAAGACGAACTGTGTTTCCTCGGTTCCCCTCCAATCAAAATCCCATCAGCTAGCTTACAGTTTAAAATGAACTAATAACTGAATAGTGAATGTCAAATATCAAGTATGTTAAGTCCATCTTAATGCTAACGAATTCTATCCACCAAGTTATAACGTGGCCACTGGTCTAGATGACTTGACATCGAGTTCATTATGTTGAGATGTAAGATGGTGGTTGAAGTCAGTGGACAAGAAACTCTGGACCTAGTAGTAGGAAATGAAAGGTTGTGTAACTTCTACAGGATGTGTATAAATAAAAAGACACGTAGATTTAACAGGCTAACAGTGAATCCTAGTGTGAATGGAGTAAGACAACTGAAGTTTTGTTTGTCATAGTAATTAAGGGTATTTAAGAAATTAAGTGAAATCAAATGATATCAGAACAAAATTATGGGTGAAATCGATTAGGAGACAATGAGAAATAAAGAAAGACAGGGAAACCTTTTACCAATGTCAAGTCACTGAAATGAAATGAAAATAACCACAACAATAGTTGTATTAGTAGTCATAATGATAATAGTAATTGTAGATGTCATTACCAAGGTTTGACTTGATAATTTCAAATAAATTGGGCATAGGGTAGATTGTTATGAACAACAATAATATATTTGCAATATCCTAATGAGTAGAAAAACTAAATTTTCAAATTTGCGGACGTTTCGTCACTCAGCGTAAAGTACTTCTTCAGAGAATGGATTTCTTTTTGTCCATAGATTTATTTTCTGAAGGAGTAACTTATACTGAGTGACGAAACATCCGAACATTTGAAAATTTAGATTTTCTACTTATTAGGACATTGCAAATATATTATTCTTATGAATAGTAATGGTAGTTTAAGTTCTTAGTAAGGGCAACGTTAAGATATACTTCATTTTGTACTCAAAGTTTCGAGTTCCTCTCATGTATGACAAGAGCTTATGCAGTTTTTTTTTAAGCAGTTGAATGTAAAGAAATCTGAATAGATCCTGATGGAATCTGTGAAGAATGTTAAAATCAAAATGTGGTTTAGTTTATTGACTAGAGTCGGTTAAATAATAAAGGACAGAAATCCTAACCGCTTTACTTATACCTTTGTAATACTATACTGGAATATATTCTTGTTTTTGTGTCAGGACTGAACACTGGTCTCAACCTATGTACTTTACTCGATGGGAACACATGAACTGGTAGGTGTATATAGTGGTAACTGGATGGGAAATTTTATTCTGTACAGATCTGAAAAATACTTTTCTGTCCATGAAGTTTAATTATAGTTCTGATGTAATAAAACGGTTATTTTGATCTCTGAAGGAAAATTAATCATTAGTATATCAGAAGTTTGGTCCTCCTTAAATTCTAGATTTACATAAAAATACTAAACTATAAATTCATTTATTATTGTTTGTTTGTATCTTGCCATTGATGTTTAAGACTGTAATTGATCAATCTTTTATCGGTATATATGCATAATATGTGTATTGCATTGATATTGCCTTAATTCACAAGCTTTATAAGCAAAGATAGATGGTGGCTAGCAGTGGAATCCATGATGCGCGTTTCGTTTTATTTGGGACTGGGCTCAATTTCCGGAGTGAACATCAACTCTGGGATGCAGGTATATCAGCTGACGAGTCCCAAATAGAAAGAAACGCGCGTCTTAGAATCCACTGTTAACTACCATCTAACTTTGCTTATATTAATCTATAGTTGATGGATTTATCAGCTTATATTAATTACTCCGTATTTATCATACTGATATGATGGGACCACATGAGATTGATTTATCGATTATGAGTTATGGTTCAAAATTACTTCCGTTTTGATTCAATGGAATGATTACTCAGTGTGGTATTTGTTTTCTTTTCTCGAATGATATTTTATTTTGTATAATATACGATATTCTTGTATTCCATTGACATGGACTATGCTCAGTATTTTTCATATATGTGATTTCATCCTAAGTATTAATCAAAAATGGGTATACAATCAGTATATAAATGATTGTATTTTCTACTAGATTCATCGTCGTCGTCGTGTTTTGGGGTTAATAAATCGTCACTTATACCAGTCTTTGTGTTCTTACTTTCGCGTCGTGGGAATTACAGAGGTCCCTCATTCCGAGTATATGTGATAAGCGTTTCCGACATAACAATCAGTGATGACCAGATACAAAAAGTAGCATTAAAAGAGCGAAGACAATAAGCATTCAAACGAAAAGTTATAACACATACCTAGAATATCTTTAAAAAAACGTGATAGATTATTGTCAGAACTGTTATCTGTTATTAGAAGAAGTATAAATATGCTCTTATTTGTAACAAGAATACAGTTTTTGATAGGCTCATTTTGTTGTATACTTCTCATTCAATATTAAACAAAGTTAATTACATACAACGTAATATATGTATCTCGCCCTGTTGTCACATCATCATCTGTTAGTACAACAAAGAGGATGGGGAGAATTAACAGAATAAAAAGTAGAGAATGGGGAAATAATAACATGATTCGTGGAAGAAAGCTAAATATAACATAGAGTGAAATTAACCTCAGTGTTCATTGTAAGGAATAAATCGATCCGTTCCATAATAATCTGTTTCTAAGCCTATCATTTAAACACCTGATTAAACTCATCACTTCTTTTAGATCTGATTATGTCATAAAGGTTTAGTTGAATGGTAAGTTTAATGAACAATTTATCTTAATGAAATACAGTACTGTTAAAATGAATTTCATTACAAATTATTCTGAACTGGTATATATTTGTAATAGAGGGATTATAAACATCTTTTGTATAACAACATGAGACTAATGCTAAGTGCTCATAAACGACCTAGTACAATACTAAACTGATATAATGGTTTACATTTCCAAGTTTCATCAATTTACCATATTTCTACCATAATTATCGAATCTTACTAGTCGTATATATCTATCACTTTACCGATATGACTGAACTTCACCAGTTACAACTAATAATAACTAGGCTGTTTGAAAATTTTTCTACAAACAAAATCATTTGATTGAACGAAAAACCATTCCATGATATCAGAAGGGGTTTTGTGGAAATTGTGGTAATTTTAACAGTCGAGATCATGAGTCATTTAAAGCTAGACCACCATGGAAAACCTAGAATTACTGGACGATCGCTTCGTCCTATTGTGGGATCCCTCAACAGTGCCCATCCAAGACCCCGCCCCACGGGACTCGAACGGAAGATCTGTCAGCCTCACGCCAGGCGCTTAGCCAACCAGACCACTGGGTCGGCATCCAACAGTGTTAATGTCTAACTTCAACTAATTCACGAAATTGAGCGATACATCGACCATTGTCATCAGTGAGTTCCTATCTCAAAACTATTGAAATTACTACAAACTCCACAAAACCCCTTCTGATACTAATCAACATATGCTCACTAGTGACTGACTTTGAGAGGTATTTCCTGGAGTTCTAGTGAGAAGCAGTGACCAATGGAGTTCAATCGGGTCAGTTGTCAGATCATAATGGTGAATGTGTCGCTCGAACTTAGTGGATTATTTAAAGTTAGATATTAACATCGTTGCATGACGGTTGGCTCATTGATCTAGTGGTTAAGAGCTCATGCACGAGTCTGATAGGTCGTGTGTTCGAATGTTGTGATGCAGAATCGTGGATATGCACTGCTGAAGAGTCCGACAATAGAACGAAACGGTCATGCAGTACTTGTAGGTATTCCACGGTCTAGCTTCAAGTGACTCATGATCTAAACTGTTGAGATTCCATAATAGTTAGATCACATATTATTTATCCATTTATTGAAGATTAATGTGAGAAAAACAATTACAAAACATGACTTTTGTTGCCAATTCAATTAAGTAAACCATTCTGGTCAACTTTGTAATCATTTGATTGGTTAAAATGTTTCATTCTCATTTTTATATAAATAAATTTGATTGGATCGCATTTTTTTTAAAAAAAAGGGAAAAATCAATACATTTATTATTGGTAAGCATACTATTGATAATTTATTATTAATGCTGAGATAGTTTTCAATTATTTTAACGACAAAAAAGGGGGGAAACATTCTAAATAGAAAAGAGTATTCATCCAATACATACAAAACACACATATACATACGCAACAGAATGAAACCCACCGTAAGTAATTGGATACAATGGGCAGTAATAGTAATAGGACGGAAGGATGAACATGTATACATTCGAGAGAGAGAGAGAGAAAGAGAATGTAGATATATATATATGTAATAGACATTCAAACATGTTCAATATTCCCATTGTTTCTAGTACTAAACACAATACATAAATCATTATTGTTTCTTTTCTTTTCAATAAACAACATGTTTGTCGAGATGGATAGATACATATTGATTAGAATATGAAGATTTATTGTTCTTTATCAATAATTTAAAAGTGGAAATAGATCATTATCAACTTTACTACTAATATTCATACTACTAATAACAACTAAAGACAAGTAGTGTATTCATTACAATCATCATTTTGTTTTCAACAATTATTCTCAAACATTCAACACTCATAAATCAATGATATTTCTAGAAGAAAAAAAAAGAAAAAGGCATTCAACTCATACAAACGAATGAATGACTTAGTGTATTGAATGTATTTATCCTATTCATTGTATATATAATATACATATTTCATCATAATTAAATGTTCTAAACGATTAGAGGCTAACATTGAACTTATTTAGATAGTATGGATATGTGAATGTGTGTTTGGGTGTGTGGGGGGCATTTATGTATGAATTGTAGTGAAGAACAACTGTTTCTTATTGTATTCAATTGTGAACATCTTAACTATTGGATAAATACTTTTTCTTTCTTTTTAAAAAAGAGATTTCTTTACGTGGATAGACATTTCATACATAGTAGAATAGATCAGTTCATTAGTAACGATAAGAACAACAACAACTCATGGATCTGTTACCAACCATTTATACCCATAGATTAATGTATCGAAATAATCATCATCATCATCATAAAAACACTATTGAAGATTCAAATCAGAATGATGAAGAGAATGGATTATTAAAAAAATATCATTCTATTGAATATGATGAATCAGCTCAACATCTTCATCATCTTCATCATCAACATCATGATCATCATGAACATCAATATCCACATCAGATAATTCATTCACAACCAAAATTATTTCGTCAATTATCCGCTATACCTAATCCAATTTATCATTATTTACATTTATTTTATATAAATCGGGTTGAAACAAGACGTCATACAATAGCGAAAATATTACATGAAATTGTACAAATAGCTCAAGAGATTTTACATGAAGTTGAATTACAAGAACCACGTTTTGTTAGTACATTAAAAGTGATTCATACAAATAATTTAGAAAAGAAACAAGATGATAATGATGATGATAATAATAATACTTCACCGGATACTACTTCGAATGTAATCAATAGTCTGAATACAACGAATACTACTACTAGTACTAGTACTACTACTACTACTACTAGTGTTACAACGAATCCCATGAATAGTAGTAATAGTAATGATAATTCACAAAATGGAGTTTATTATGATGGTTTACGTGTTCTATCATCAAATCATTTTGAGATAACACTTTATTTAAATCAAATGGGTGTATTTAATTTTATGGATGATGGTAGTATACCTGGTGGTGCTGTCTTAAAATTATCCGATGGTCGTAAACGTTCAATGTCATTATGGGTTGAATTTATTACAGCATCGGGATATTTATCAGCTAGAAAAATACGTGCAAGATTTCATAGTTTAATTGGACAAGCAATACAAAAATCAGCCTATCGTCATATTGTACGTATGTTAGGACATACAACTGAAGTGAAATTATGTATACATGATAAGTATATATTACAAATTACTCCAGCATTTCGTTGTAATGGTTTATGGCCTAGATCAGCTAGTCATTGGCCTATCAATCATAATGAATTGAATATAGAATTAACAAATACTCCTTCTAATAGAATCAAATGGCCATCAAATCAATTAATTAATGAAGTAAAATATGAAGGATTTTGTTTATTAAGTCAAGAATCCGTATATACAAAAGATAAACAAGCATCCGCTGAAGGAGATGCATGGTTATTAGATTTTTATCATGCAGAAGAACGTTTATTATTAAATCATACAATACGTAGACAATGTTTTAGTATATTAAAAACATTAGCTGATCGACATTTAACTGGTGTTAATAATAAGGAGATCAATTTTAAAGATCCCAAATCAACCTCATCAACCGCATCAACCGCATCAACATCATCGTCACCAATGAACATGATGAATTCAGTCATTCAAGAATATGATATTAAAACACTTGTTTTACATGAATGTGAAAAACATCCAAATGATGATGATTGGACACAATATACATTAGGTGATCGTATTAATAGTATATTATTACAATTAATATCATGTTTACAACATCGTCGATGTCCACATTATTTTTTACCAAATTTAGATATATTTCGAGGATATTCTACATTAGGAATGGATATTACAGCAAAACAAGCATGGAGATTATTAAGAGAATTATTAACATGTCCACAAGCACTTGAATATCTTTAATTTAAAAAAAAATTTGGGAGCGGGAGGGAGGAAGAAAGTAACATAATCAATATTCTACGATTTATCCAATGTCCAATATATATATATGTATCATATGGGAACATATAATACAAGAAAATTTGATAACAATTTTGTGTAAAGTGAATAATCTCTTTATCTCTTTTCATGTTACCTACTTAGTTATTTAGGCTTGTTAATCCCAATGGAGCAATAGGCCGCCGATCAATATTTTTCAACGCACTCTGTCCTGGGCCTTCCTTTATAGTTCTATCCAATTGTTGTTCATTCTTCTCATGTCTATCTCCATTTCTCGGTGTAATGTGTTCTTTGATCTTCCTTTACACCCCCATCGGCCTTGAGGATTCCAAGTGAGGGATTGCCTTGTGATACAGTTGAGTGCTTTCCTTAATGTGTGTTCTATTCAATTCCAGGGTTTCTTTCTGATTTCTTCCTCAGCTGAGATTCGGTTTGTTCTCTCCCATAGTAGGTTGTTGCTGATAGTCTGTGGCCAATGGATCCGAAGTATTTTGCGTAGACGATTGTTAATAAACATTTGTATTTTCTAGATGATGGTTTTCGTAGTTTTCCAAGTTCCCGTCCCATACAGTAGAATCTTTTCATGTGCACATACACATACACTTTAACATTAATCACATTTTATTGTGTAACCTTGAATAGTCGTTTATAATAATGATGATAATTTTTGTTTAAGTGGTATACTTTTGATCGAAAAATCTTATTGTATCTTTTGAATAAATATGAGAATTGTTTGTATAGAGTGTTTGACTTTTGATTGTGACTCTGATCATCGTCGTAATCAAAATTAGAGATCATAATATAATCAAGGAATTCGATGTTATTTCTAAAAAAAATCTTTAATTCATTAAGAGCTTAATACTAATTTATGATCCATAGAATTGGTCGATTGTACTTGAACACCGATTAGCACGTCGTGCAATCCTAACCGGTGTTGGAGATGGTTGGAAGAAAGTTAGGGGTGGCAAAACTAAAACGTGGCATCTGTCCACAAAGTCACTCACTTCTAGTCTTAGCTATGTTGGTAGATGCAGAATACTTGGTTGGGGTCAGCGTGACTGTCCTAACCAAATGGTTGGAGACTCTTGGTGACATTGCTCAGAATCGATCACAATGGCGTCGGTGTATACACTCTCTGTCTTATCTTAAACTAGCAGATTAAAATCGCTTCATATCTTTCTTTCTATGAACTAATTCTTTCTTCCTGTACTATATCCTTATTGCAATCTTTCTTTTATATATTACCACCTCTGAATTAACTACTTTTATGAATCCGGTGTGCATGTTGTTGTGTTAATGAGGTATGGCAACTTGGACCGATGCATATATGTGCCTGGTCCTACGTTGTAGCTAACTGACTGACTTATTTGTGGCAATAACTCATCTATGAAATTAGATAAAAATATTATATCAATATGTTTGTTGAAGGGATCTTGTGAAGGTTCTTTTAGTATATTTATTATTATTTCTCAGGCTATATTTGTGATAAATTGATTTCATTTAGTGTAATATTGAGTCAAATAGTCATAGATACTGTAGGAGTTGGCATATATATGTATCAGTTCAAGTTTGAGATCAAGACAAATCTTAGAGTTGTAGAAGTAATAACAGTATTATTGATTGTACAAAACACATTCACCATAGGGGATATAACTCAAGAAGAAACTATGAATTCGTAGGATAGAAGGCTATAAGACAATTTTAAAATTTTGGATTTAGGGAAAGATAAATAGTAAATGCATTTGAGGCATTGTGAATGATTCACAGTCATGAGATACCATTATATGACCGTTCAACGATGTGGACTCATAACCTCACAATGATCGAACCCAACAACTTTAGTTCCTATGAATACACACTACTGAGAGTTTGCATACTAGAAAGAAACAGTTTTCCAGTTTCCTCTGGTTATCAATGTTATCCCTAATGAGATAAATCTATGATGAATGAAAATAAGGTATATTTCATTTAGTGCATAAAGTTCAGAACTCATCTTATGAATAGCAAATGATTTTTATTGATTTGAGCAGTCGAATATGAAGAAATCTTCGACAAACATTTTAAAATTAACATATAGAACAGTGGATTAATTATTCAAAGCTAGAACCATCTCCTTGTCATCTTCATAATATCATAATCAAATACTTAAACAGAATGAGAAGAACAAAGTTTACAGAATAAAATGAATTCATTCGTTTATGAAAGTTCCACGATTAAACCATTCAGCTCAGAGAATAAAACTCCATCAAAATCATCCAGCTGAGATACAAATCTTAACCATTTAGTACAATTTACTTAGTGAAGTTTAGGTAAACGGTTGGAATGTAATCAAAATAATAATAATAATAACATACTGATACAAAGTATATGAATAAACATAATTAACATAGATGTATATTTGTATGTTGGAAATTTATAATACAGAGTAGAACAGGTAATATTATAGTTTCTATGATTTATAATCGAGATAAAAGAGATTACTTAAGGGTAGTCGAATTGATAATTGATTTAGTAAAACACTCAACATGATAAAATAAACACATATATGAACAATAAGATTACGTAAGTGATGAGTAACAGAAGACGAATAGAGAATCGGAGGTATTGGGTTCGAATCCTAAATGTGAGATCGTGAATGCGTACTACTGATGAGTCCCATATTAAGACGAAACAGTCATCCAGAGCTTCTAGGATTTCAATGATGATTCAATATTGATTGATTTATGATCTTAATCAAAACTTAATAATCTCCATAACCTTATACTGATAAAATAAAAAGGTTAGAGAGTAGATTTTAAAAAAATGATTACAAATGTATGAAGGTTACTAGATGAATGATGTTAAACATATGTTAATAATTGTACTTTTAGATTATATGTGAAATTCTCGGAGTTCTGGTGAGAAACTGTGACTAGGGGAGCTAATCCCTGTCGGGTAGAAACAGGTGTCTACCTCAGTACAATGGAAGATAGTTGCGCATTTTTTGGATTGGTTGACGTTAGACATTAACACCATTGGATACCGGCTCAGTGGTCTAGTAGGTTAAGCGTTCGCGCGCAAGACTGAAGGCCCTGGGTACAATCCTGCGAGTGGGATCGTGAATGTGCACTGCTGAGGAGTCCCACAATAGGACAAAACGGCCGTCCAATGCTTCCAGATTTCCAATGGTGGTTCAACATCAATCGGTTCATGATCTCAACCAAAACTTGACAATCTCCACAATCCCTATACTGATATATGTGCAATAGACTGATGAATTCATTCTATTATAAAAAATTAATTGTTTTTACTTTATTCAAAGTTATCAATGGATCTAATTGTATGAAATACTAGAATATGTTCTTGTATTTATTTATCATTTATAAATACGGAAAATGGTTTCCTGCTCATGAAAGTTAATTGTAGTTCTGCTGTATGAAAACAATCCTTTGATTGATACATGTAAACGGTCATTAAGTCATATTGGATGATTGTTTACAGTTAAATTTCAGTTTCATACGTATAAATACTTTTTTAAAAATGAAGGAGAGAAAGGCACAGACTGTAGAGAAGAAGAAAGTGGCAAAGTAAGCAGAACCACCGCAAGAATGACTGCTTTAAAAGGGGGGGGACGAGTGTGGTATGTGCTACTGATATCGATAGATATAAGTAGTATGTATCATCAAACGAAAGTGAAATGCCAGGAGGCAGAAGGCTAAGAAAATCAAAGGAACGAGAACGAGAATATAGAATAATTGGTGTGGAAACGAAAGAACAATGAATTCTGAGTCAATTGATTGACATTTTGTAAATGAAGTATTCATTGTATGATTCACAGATTTTACTAAGATGTTCTGTAATATTGTGTCAAATACATTTAATTGTTCCCACTTGTGTTCTAATTTACTACAGTATATCTTTGAAGAAATCCTAAGCGTTTATCAGGTTAAATGTTGAAATAAATCATAGTCATAGATAAATTAACAAGATGAAAGATCTTTCCATTGATGTTTAGGACTCCAATTGCCAGTCTCTTATTGGCATATGTGCATACCGTGCATATTGCCTTAAGCCACAAGAGTTATAAGCAAGTGAATTCAAACTTCACCCCATAGCACAAGCAAGTGGCTATCAGGACTCAGTAACTAAGTGGATAATGCGATGGCGTTTAAAGCAAACGGTACTGAGTTCGAGTCTCAGAGTGTACATCAACTCTGGGATGCAGGTAAATTCAGCTGACGAGTCCCAAATAGGACGAAACGCGCGTCCTGTTTCCCACTGCTAACCATTATCCATCTTTGATGAATAATATAGTTTGAAAAAAACAATTAACATTCTGTGAAACAAAAGACGCTTCACTTAAATCCATTTCAGTAGTTTAATCCAACAATAAGAAATTCAAACTTCCGATTTTATCATTATAATATTGAAATTGAGTTTGATTAGATCAATTTATTTTACTCCAGTTACACGTTTGAGGATGTCAAAGTGTAAGAAGTATCATCAATAGATTAGGATTGTGAGATGTAAATTGAATGAATTTGGATATTTTAACCGTTCAATGTTAATTCATAGATCTATAAAGGTAACACAGTCATCGCTGGAATTCTTTATTCTATACCAGACAAGATTATGGGTTCACATTTCTTAGAAGTCTGATATCCGAACGATGATGCTCCCTAGTGCTCCATAATTTTATACTTAAAGTTAGTTCATTATGTAAACTATGTAAAATATGTTGAGGTTAAGGTAACTCCGCCTGGAGCCCCTCTGGGGCTACTGCCGATCTCAAGCTCGGATAAAGGAGGAGGGTTGGGGATGGGGTTAACGACCCCATCCCGTAAAAAACTAACTCCCTGAAAAAACGCTAACCAGAAAAAAATTATTCAAACCATTTAACTCTGCCATGGGAGTTAGAAGGTCTTCATTTAGAAGAGTTATGACGCCTCATGGTGAAAGCCGAGTTCCTTTGGAAGTCACAAGACTGATGCCCGTTCTAACAAACAGAGAAACCATTAATTTAGGTACATGGAATGCTTTTACAATGTGGGAGACCGGAAGAGTCTTCCAAATTGCTGCAGAAACAAAGGTATTCAATAAAGGGCATATAATGTACACTTGCTTGAATATATGATTAAAATGAATGAAATTAGCATAATTTTTTGAACTCACAATAAAAAAATATTCACTATGTTTTTTTCGAGATCATGAAGTGGTCTATCATTGCTAACTTTTACTATTATTAATTCTAATAAAATCTCAACCAATCTATGGTATATGCTACTTATATTGACAAACATAAGTAGTATGTAATATTAATCAGAAATGGAACATTTGGCAGCAGAAGGTTTAGTAGTAACAGAGAGGAATTTTAATAGCAATCAAAGAACGATGGAGATTCAGACAATTGATGAAATGATTTACAAATGAAGTAATTAATGTATAGTTTTTCACATTTTACCAAAGAACTATGTAATTTGATGTCAAACAATAAATTGGTTATTCCCCACCTAAGTCCTCGTTCACTACAAATCGATATGATGTAGATTAAAATAAACAATATATTTGGGAATTCACTTGGTGTTGGTTGTTTTACTTGTATCCTCCCATTGTTTTTTAGGACTGCAATTGATCAGTCTCATGTTGGCATATATACATCCAGTGCGGATGCCTTGATATAGCCTTAAATTACAAGCTTTTATAAGCAAAGATGGATAGTGGATAGTAGTGGAATC